GGAACCAGTTTAACTTGAGAGAAGGCACACAAGAAAGAACGAAAAGCAGCAATGCCGTACCATTAGTGGAAATTTAAGACGGTTGAGCTGAGACAGCTTTGGGACTTGGCAGTATACTTTCTGCACTCCAGAAATGCCATCTTAACTTGCCTAATACACAGGAAAAGAGCATATCCTGTAAGGGCATATGTATTTCTCACCTACTAATTAGGGGAAGAGAGAATATGGAATGGCACATGTTTCCTTATTTCCTTCTTCTTAGTATCGATTCCTAAACTACAGTAAAATACAATGGTAAAAATACATGATCAGTGCCTACTCTTAATGCTCTGTGCTTCAAAAGCTATTTACCTTGTGTAGAATACACAGGAAGACAAGAAGTACCATCTAAAATGCAATGTTAACTCCATTTGTCCTTATTAGTCAGTTGAAGCACAGACAATATGTCTTCAGGAAACGAATGTGTAGAGATCATGGCTTCCAGAAGCTTCAGTCTAATTCAATTCTCTCTCCATTGGCTCATTCAAGGCTTCTCATATTTAAAGCCCAATTGCATTTCCAGTGGCATTAGCAGAATAATTCAGAAGTTAAATGAATATAAATGGCATCCCTCAATCTATCCAGGCTCTTATCTTTAGAAAAGGAGCCAGAATTCTGCAGACTCTTACCCTAATCACTGGAGCAATTTAATAAAATGTTGGTTTTGCTTGGATGCTAATGGGATTGTATGATACAAGGATCAACTATTCAGTGTGGCAGTAAGCATGGAAAACTGTCTAGAATGACCTGATAGGAAAAAAACTACACTCTCCTCCTCTGTTTACTCTTTGTTTTGAGAAAAGCATGAATTGTATATGCATTTAATATACATTTCTCAGTGTGAGCTACTTTGGTTCTGCAATGTTCTGCTTTGTCTTCTACTTTAAATATTTTTACCCATCACCATTTTGATCAATTTGTCTTGACAGTGAGAAAAAGCTGAAAGAGCAAAAAACTATGAGATTTATGCTTTTCATCCCACCCCTAATGTTTTTGTACTGCTTTTTCTCCAGAATATTCTACAATTTTCTTACTCCCTAAATCCAGAAAAGAAGAAACAGATTTTGCTGTTTCTCAAAAGAGAATAAAGTCCTTGAGGGGCCCAAATGTAATGCTAATACTTTGGTTTACCACTAATATTGTATATATCAATTATACAATAATTTAAAATTTTGTTGAAAGTAATGAAAAAAAGCTACTTAAATAGAAAAGATTGCTTTGATTATAAAAGCAAAACCAGCCATTCCCTATGAAAAATGTTTTTCAAGCAATTAAGGGGAAGAGGAGAAAGCTAGTTACTTCTGTGTGTCAAAATACTGGAACTGCTAAATATTTCTATTCTCAGCTCTTTCAAGCATTGAATATGATGTAGTGGTGGGCGGAGTAATAATAATTGCTTGCTAGCAAGTCAATTCTGACTGATGGCAATGTTTTTCAGAGTTTTCTAGATAGAGAGTACTCAGAAGTGATTTACCATTCCCTTCTTCTGGGGGCATCCTGGGAATATGATGTTTGTCCAACAAACACACACTGGCTTTTCTGAGATGCACAGTGGAGAATTGAACTCCCAGCCTTTGGCTCTGCAGCCTGCAACCTAAGTCACTAAGCCAATGATGGCAGACGAAGGTAACATTTGACATTTTCAGGCGTCAACTACTGAAATTATACTAATTTGTAAAAAATGAAATTACAAAACTTTTTGTTATAGTGGTTTCTCCTGAGCAGAACTCCCTATTTCAGCTTTCCTTAAGTTAAGCAGAGGTGCACTCAATGTATTAAGCTTCCCCATTTCAAGCAGTTTGCTGGTCCAGAAGATTCCAGTGAAGGCCTTTCCATTTTATATGATTTATTCCTCTCACACATTTCTCTTAAAGCAATCTTATTTAACTTTCCCCTTTCTCAATTCACATCTTAAATTACAACAAATCCCCTAATTTCTTCTGTGAGAGATATAGGATGGGCTGAAACACAGACATTTCCTGCAAGTGGACAGAGGGTGTGACCGCACTGTGATTTACTCTGCCATTTGCGCCAGAGCTGGCATTCCATGCATTTCCCAGTGACAACAACACATGTAGCTAACATAAGCATTTTTAATAGATATTTGTTTCTTTTTGTTCAGTCACCAAGGTAGTTTTTCCCCCTTTTAATGATTTTGCTTGCATCAACTTTGTTGTTTTTGGCACGTGTGATTCCTTATATTGGTCCAGTGATAGGTGCATCCTAGAGTGATGTTGACAGTGGAGCCAGTATAGCGGGAACATCCTCATCAAGGAAGCACCTACTATCTCCTCCAACAATGTCTTTAAATGATGCTTTCCCAGTATAGCAGGACTATGTCAGATAACCCTGCAGTTTCACAGTCTGTTACATCACATCAGTGCTATGTGACTTGCAAACAAAATAATAAGTAGTGGGAAACAAGACAGTGTTTACGACATAGGAGGGTGGGAAACCTGTAATCCTGGTGAGAATTGTATGATCTGAGGTGTGTAATGGACTCTTGCCCTAAAAACTGCCCAGGATAATTCAATATTCAGTGTGAATGACAACAGCTATTTAACTGCCATAGGAAACTTTGAATTGATCCCAATCAATCCAGGACAGCTTCCCTGACTCTTACATGTGTTCTCCCGCCCACAGTTTGAGTAACGCTTTAGAAAGGAACTTCAGTTTCTAAGTGACTATCTAGCTCTGGACTCTGCTTCTGAATAGACCCTTGCCTAGATCAACATGGAAACAATTAACTTCAAACACAAGACCTCTAACTAATAAAAATCATTACATTCTAGCATGAAGCTATGCATAGGGCTTCCCATTCATGGATGCCAGCTTGCTCAGTGGGCAGTAATATACATGTCACTATTTCTCTACCTCACAGGACTGGTTTGTCCTCAAAGGTAAAAAAATGGATAAACGCTATGGTTGCTTTCCAAGTTTCTTAGGAGAAGGGTGGAGATATGTGATTGGTAAGTAAAGAGAATAACTTAAATGGTTGAGGCTTGCCTTAACAGTTCCAATGTAGAAAAATAACAAGCAAATACATAATCAAAAGTCAGAAATAATTATGCGGATTATCACCCTGGGAAAATGTGCATGTCCTTTTGCTATGCTGCTGATACCTCTTTGGCTCCCTATAAACTAAGGGGAAATATCAAATGATTTGTGATATGCTTCTGTACATTCAGAGTTATTTGGCCTGACAACCGCAAAAATAGCAAAAATGTTTCCCAGCATAATAACAGCCTTTCCATATGGCAATGTGCTACTTAGCACTTTGCTAACTGTAGGTCTGTTTTTTCGCCACCCTAAAATAAAAATTTGAAATTCTGATATTGGCTGGAATTCAGGTAGTAAACCAACTAGTACACACTTAATAAGATTCATATAAGTAGGTCTAGTCTAGATTTTAGGCCACTACATGCATAGTGAAAAGAGAGAGAGAGAGAGAGAGAGAGAGAGAGAGAGGACTGAGTGGCATATTTCTTGTGAACTTTTTTTCCCCAAGGAAAGCCAAGGGATAAGTAATTTAAGCCATTAAGGCATAACAAACAACAAGAGATATTAATCAATGCCCTTATTGGCTGTATGGGCAATCAGGATCTATTGAAACTGCATTAGCACCCTAATCAAACATTAAAGTTTGTGCTTCGTGCACTGAAAGTGTTGAAAATATTGAGAAGAAACCACCACAAACACATGAAAACACTGACTCCATCTGGATGACTCTTGTTTTGTTTCTAGATATTGACACTGTATTTTTCCTGGGGGGCTGTGGGAGGGTTCTATCATGTTCATCTGCTGCAACAAAACCAGGTTTTATTTAGGGAAAGTGCCATGGCCTGTAGATCACTTCATCATGAACTCAATTTGACAAAGGCAGAGCTTTTACTTCTGTTATTTTAAAAGTTTTATAAAAAGTAAATTTAATAACACTCCTTTTTGCTATCCTAAATGTTGATATCTGTGGAGGGGGAATCACAGGAGGAGTACTTCCTCATTGTGGACATTCCTGGCTACCGATCATTTTTCATGTTCTGTAGAAGAATGAACAGCAGGAAGAATCTGCACTTGTGAAAATCATTGTGAGATGTAACCTGTTCCTTTCATTCTCCTCTAAAACAACCTTTGTGACAGACCAGGGAGGAAGCATTAAAGTATCATACATGCTGTGCCTTCATGATTGGTCAAGGGCTATTGGAAATTTAATTTAGGCGAGAAGGTGATGGGAAATAATATGCAAAAGCATAATACTGAGAAAGAACTGGGGTGCCACTTCTGTGAGCAAACCAATGTTAGAGCAAGGAATGAAGGGTTATTCTGAATGATTCCGTAATGGAATCTTCAAAACATGCACAATAGTTATTTATACCTGTACATTTGAGTAAGTACATTCAAAGACAGTACTGTTTTCTTGAATCAGGTGCAGACACAAAGCTGTTCTTAACACTATTCTCAAGATGGTATCAACAGTCCTCATCTTGACTGCTAGTATCCAGAATAAAAGACCACATCATTTAAATAATGAAACAACTAAAATTTTGCTGACATCCACAACTCCTCCAATTTTATCAAGATAATTGGCAAAATGTATTCCTTCTTTTATTTCCCATTATGCTATATTTAAAAATGATTATGAACCTTTAGCAAACATTGGGGTTCAAACAGGGCTACCTGTTTCTTCCTTTGACCCATGTGAGTAAATGGAATATAACAATATGGCAAGACAACTGAAGTTCTGGAATTTAACAATGCTGAATTCCACTCTGGAGACCCTCTATCATTGCAGCAGATCAATAAATTAGGGATTATTTTCTCCACCCTCTATCACTGCAGCAGATCAATAAATTAGGGATTATTTCAAGCTAATGTCTCTCTGCCACTGCCTTTGAAAATTTAGCTATACAAACACCTTTCAGTCCAAAAGCAACATATAATTCGTTCCTATAGAATGGGCTTACCTTTCTTGGTTTCACTTTGTCATGGTAGTCATATTGAAAGATCCCCTTGTAGCTAAGTCCTAACCACCAAGGAATTCCTTGTTTGTCCTACAGGATGGAGGAACACACAAAAGTCAGTGTTATTCTAAAGAGACTGGAGCAAGGTAACATAAAGCAAAAGAAAAGTTCTAGTTTTTGCTTTGTTTCCTTATTATTGAAATAAGTTACTTATATTTGAACAGCGCAGATGACAAACACTTGTTGCCATATTATCAGTTTTATATAAAATTGCCATACTTTGTTCACTTTTCACAAAGAGCCCAGACCACAGGTGATTCTATATAAACACTTCCTACCACTAGCAATCAAGGGACACTATACATCTCTTTTGTCTTTTCTTCTTTAGAAGATTATATGAGAAGAGCCAGCCAGATAGGGGCAATGGGAGATTTACAAATGGAAGTTGACAATATCTAGACACAACATCCCTAAATAATGTTTGGTATCATAGAGATTGCAGAGTAAAGGCCTCAACTGGAGGCACAAATGTCATTGCCAACCAATCTATGAGTTCCCACTGCTAGTGTTGAAACAAAATTTGATTTTCAGCCATTGGCTTTTGTGTGTGAAATGGAAAGAAGTTACCTCTTGTTTGCAGCTCTCACAGCAAAATACTGTAGGTTGGTTTGACCCTGAGTGCCAACATATAATTTAGGCTGGTAAATAATTTTTTCAAAACTATGGTGCCTTTAAAGACCTACTATTCTTCCTTTCATCTACTCCTTTCACTGCTTCCTAGGCAAAGTAGCAGTAATATTACTACTGATCAGCCTCTTAATTGATCAGTTTGTATGAGTGCATTTTTCCATTAAAAATTAGAAGAAGAAAACAAGAAGATATTGGTAATAAAACACCAAAGAGAAAACAAGTTTAGTAATAAAGACTGTTCACTAGTAAAGCTGCTGTCATGATGAAAGGAAGCCACAAAATGGGGAAGGGGAACTGCAAGGAGGATGCGATTACATAATATCACAGGATGCCTTTGCTGGATGGACTTAACTCTTGAGTAAATACTACTAGAAAACAAAGCCATATAATAAATGCCATTTGGAACTACAGTTTTAATCCTACTTCCAGATGGTTGTAAAAGCAAGACTGTAGTAGAGCCAAAAGGACCCAATATGGAAGCAAAAAAATATCTAATTACTAAAATGTCCCCAGTGGAAGCTATCCTAATATCTTTCCCACTCTCCTTGGAAATGATTGCATATAAAAATGTTGCCCCAAATGCAGGAAAGAAGTGCCAGAAATAAATATAATATTCCAGCTGAATCCATTTATGTAAGAAAATCCTGGATTGTGTCATGAATCTATGAAACGCAGCACTAATGTGACTTAACTGATACTGAATGCTTAGGTCTGTTGGATATGCTAAGTCAAATGACTCTGTAATAAAACTATTTTATAAAAATGTGTATGGTATTTCATGCTACCATTTGCATTAGTAAGTAGATATACAGCAAAGTGAGTTGCACTTCATAAATATGCTGGACAATACATATGAAAAATAGCAAATGGGTTGACCCGTACTACTTATTCTATTCCTATCAACAAACCAAACAATATACAACAAATGAAAGCACCTGAACCCAAATATCATTTGAATGTGGTTGCTACTTCAGCCTCTATGAATAAAGTTAGGTTACTTACCTGTAACTTTGGTTCTTCTAGTAGTACTCTGTGAACTCACACAAATGGGTTATCCTGCGCCTGCGCAGGAACGTCCGGAAGAATCTAGAGCTTAAGAAAAAAAAGTCAATTAGCTCCCCCTGTGGGGTATATAAGCTTCACCTCCTCCATCTTCCTTTCAGTTCCCTAATCAACCATTACCGTAAACTAGATAAGCATGGTATCATAGAACAGTACCGTGACGGATAGAGGGGAGGAAGGGAGGGATGTGTGAATTCACAGAGTACCACTAGAAGAACCAAAGTTACAGGTAAGTAACCTACTTTCATCGTAGTGGTCTCTGTGAATGCACACAAATGGGTGTATAGCAAGCTGTACTCACTGGCAGGAGGGCCGTCACAGTATCATAGATGACAGTATCGCCCGTCCAAACACCGCATCATTTTTGGCTCTGACATCCAGTCGGTAGTGTCTGGCAAACGTCAGAGGGGTAGCCCAGGTGGCTGCTTTGCAAATG